AGAACTAGGCACAATGCTTTGTAATGCACTCTCGAGGGGTCAAATGCGTAGTGTTTAAACAGATAAAACAGCTAGGCGGTCAAGTGTCAGGTCAAATATGAGATCAAAGTGTATATCATGGGATGAAATAGTCAATTTGTCTAACTAACATTCAGTACAATTTGGGGCTTTCTTATAGCAATCAAACATCGCGGATAACTCGGTAAATCAAAGATTAGATGATTCATGACTTTTCTTCAGATGAATCATGACTTTCTTCAGATGTAACAAAGTAAGCAATCAATTACATCATCAATGACATCATTAAAACAGGAACACATATATTCTAACATAGTATGATATCGTTTTCCTTATAAATTTAGTCGAATTAAGGGGTTAAATAGCTTCTATAGCCGTCGAGTATTAAAAGTCGATACCTTCCTACTAAACGTAAAAAAGTCGATGGTATAAAGAGTTTCTAAAGCCAGCGAAGCCTAATTTCATCAGATATCTAACTGTTTAGACTAACTTCAAATCGCTAATTACTAGGAAGGCCGTCGAACTAAGATTTAATAAAGACTTTACCTTTAAAAATAATATATAGAGGAAGGACCCACCCCGCTATATTTATATATTCAATTGCAGTTACCTACTCGCGATTTCCGGGTTATAAAAGTAATCTCCGACTGTAGTATTTACTTCTTATAATAACCCTCACAGTTACTATCAATCCTATTATAAAACCAGTCTCATCGAAGTTATAAATATCGTCTAGATTGATTCTATACTAGACAATGGTTTTTTAAATAAGATTAAACCATTTAGCAATCACTTTCGGGTCTTCACATTTCGCGCACTCGTAATTATAATATCTCGAGAATCGGGATAAGAGGTTAGGGTACCGTTTAATAAAGTTATAAACCCATTTCTTACTAACCGAAATAACCGGGGTAGTTCTATGTTATTAAAGAAGAATATTAGCCATTTCTTATACAGAAGAATGCCGGGGGGGCGCTCCACGTAAATCCATAGAGAGTATCCATTTCTAAAGAGATTCCTCTTCAATTACGGTCAATTTGGAAGAGTTGGCGCGTAGAGTCGCGCGTTATTGAACACCACATAGGCGTGTACGGAGTGTAGATTCGGGCACGTTGAAGATACGTGCTATCCCACGAATAGACGTAGTCTCTCCTTTCTTAAAAGCCTGGATAGCTAATAAGATCCTACCCTCCTGCTCTATTAACTTTGTAGGCGATCGGCGGCGTTTTGGTAGCATGGTGGGTGGTTGAATTGACTAAGTGCTAATTTACGGACGCGTTTTGGTTGGGGTGCGCAGCTCGGTTGCGTGCGCAGCTCGCTTACCGAATACGTTACATAAGTTCCAGGAAATTATTGGAGTCATCATACTCCTTGCAGTGCTACTTTCGATAAATGCACTATCGCTTTTCGTTGGGATTCGGGCGGACCAAATCAGCAACCGATTAGATTCATTCTAGTCTATTCTCAGTGTCCCTACTAACCAAGATCTGCCGATAAGGATTCTATATCTGTTATTTCGAAACTTCTTAGTCCAAACCAATAGCAAATTTCTGGTAAATAAGCGAAGTAAGTATAAAGATATTGCTAAGCTCTGCCTTAAAACCATACGAAGGTATCTACAGAGAAATATTTGTAATTTAAAAAGCACTTGTACGCACAGAGCAGATATTGATCCCTAATACCTCCGCTAATCTTTACTACCAGAACTTAAATATTCTTATTGTTACTAGGCCTACTACCTCGAAAATAGCAATATCTCGCCCTTTAAGTGGGAAGATATTCTATCTTTCCTCTAGGTATATTTTCTATACTAGGTAGAAGTAATAAGCCTATTAGGTTTTATATTAGGAGTAGTAGGGATACTCAATGCCATTAAGGTAGTATTACCTATAAGATTTCTAAATATCTATATATAATCTATACTAATAAGTATAGAGTGATCACCACTCCGATATATCTACTTTTCTTTAGGATATATAGCGTTTTATTCTAAAAAATCGCTAGATAGCTAACGAAGTACTGCTATAAATTTATAATATAGGACTTACTTTTATACCCTGGAAAGCAATTATCTGTAAATAATTTTATAAAGACTTACCTACTTAGATATACTAATTTCTACGAGTTAAGGATAGCTGGAGTATAGAATTATAGATTCTCGAGGGCTATATATAGTCGGCTCTATTAGTAGTATTCTCGCTACTAGCTAGACAGCCGGCTACTAATATCTAGCTCTACTAATAAGACGGTACGCCTATAGGACCTAGTGATAGGTATACTTAAATAGACTCTTAAGGTATATTTAGCTCTAGTTTAGTTAGTAGCGTTTATACCTAATGGCCGCCTACTAGTATCTAGCTTAGATAATAAGATATTATATCTCTAGGACTTATCGATAGGTATATTCTACTAGACTCTCGAGGGTTATTCGGCTTCGGTTTAGTTAGTAGCCTTCTTGCCTAATAGCCGGCTACTAGTATCCGGCTCTTAAGATAAAATACTATGCCTCTAGGATATAATAATAGGCGCGCTTTAGCAGACTCTCGAGGGCTATATAGGATTAATTTAATTGGTATTATTCTTATCTAACGGCTATTTACTAGTATCTAGCTCTAAGGATTAAATAATATACCTTTAGGACTTAGCGATAGGCATACTCTAGCGAACTCTTTATAGATACTTAAGCTAGATTTTCTCGGTAGCCTTTTTACCTAACAGCCGCCTACTAGTATTAAGCTCTACTAATAAGATAGTATACCTCTGGGATATAGCGATAGGTATAACTAAATATATTCTCAGGGGCTACTTAGAATAGATCTAGTCAGTGGCCTTCTCGTCTAATAGTAGGCTACTAGCATCCGGCTCTAATAATTAGATAATATACCTCTAGAATATAATAATAGGTATACTCTAGTAGACTCTTAAGGGCTATTCGGCTATAGTTCGGTCGGTAGCCTTTTTACCTAATAGCTAACTACTAGTATCTAGCTCTAATAAAAGTTATATATATCTCTAGGATACGACGATAGGGCCCTACTAGTAGACTCTTAATAGCTATTCTGAGTAGATTTAGTCTATAGCGTTCTTACCTAACGGCCGCCTACTAGTATCTAGCTCTAATAATAAGAGAGTATATATATAGGATATAGTGACAGGTATACTCTAGTAAATTCTTAAGGGCTATTTAGCTTTAGTTTAGTTAGTAGCGTTCTTACCTAATAGCCGGCTATTAGTATCTAGCTCTTAAGATTAAATAGTATACCTCTAGAATATAACTATAGGTATATTTCGGTAGGTTCTTAAGGGCCATTTAAGTTAGGTTCGGTTAGTAAGATTCTCGCCTAATAGCTATCTATTAGCGTCTGGTTCTAAAGACTATACAGTTCGCCTTTAGGACTTAGCGATAGGTATACTCTAGTATACCCTCAAGGGCTATATAGATACGGTTTTATTAGTAAGCTTTTCGCTTAACGGCTAGCTACTAGTATCCGGGTCTTATAATCAGACTATTTATCTTTAGAACTTAACGATAGGCTTACTACTATATACTCTCGAGGGCCATTTCGACTTAGTTTAGTTAATAGCTTTCTTACCTAACAGTCAGCTGCTAGTATCCAGTTCCGCTAATAAGATAGTACGTATTTAGGATACAGCGATAGGCGAGCTAAACTAGACTTATATTACGAATACAGTTAATACTCTTTAATTCTCTAATAACGGGCCGTATATATACGTAGACTTGGGTATCCTTGATCTTCAGTCTAATTGTGATATTCTAAGGCCTTATTCGCGTTATAAAAATGTGGATATCTCAATTGAAGATCAGAGGTAGATAATATTGAATGGTGAAAAGGTCCTATGGCTTCCTCCCGAATCTCGCGCCAGTTCTTCCAAGAGCTATGGCAATTTACTTGCCCTAGGACACCCATCGGGGCAGATTTCCTTCATCAAGTTTTGTATGTAGCAGGTACAGTAGCGACCTCTTTTTCGCCTTCCATGCCGCACAATACAGAGGAGTGTTTTCAAACCCTAATCATATGCGGTGCTAATCCGTATATAGGTTAGCGCGTATTTGAGGGTCCGTCACAAGATCGAATGGTACAATACCAAACAAATAGATGTAATTCCTATATTGATACAGCCCTAAGATTTTAGGACCATCACGTTATTGCAACTATAAACAAAGATTCTAACGGACCGGAAGATGCCCCGAAAGCTTGAGCTCCGGGAATGAATGATCATATATCATATTATATAACAATAGCGACATACACACCAGTTCCCAAATGGTAAAGATGCTAAAATGTATGCAATTGTTCGGCAAGTCAGGTTCACTCAGCACTTCGTAAGCGATGGTTTGCGTAGATTTTGGCAATATATAAGTTCGAATGTTTCAATGTAAATAGTATGGTGAGCAGCGAAGTTGCTTCGTGCCATAAGAGTAGAGAATCGTGTATATAATGAACTAATCACTAATAATGAAATCAATATATCCTGATGACAGTCTTCAATGCTTAATGTATTCGGCCTTTATGGAATTCGCCAGTTACAAACGTAGCCTCTTAGCCCTTTCTAGCTAGTTGTAGTTGATCGTAGGGTATTAGAAAAGGTTGAGAATTGGCATGCGAATAGGACAAACAGTCTCCTAGTATGTGGCCATATGCCTGTATGCTTGTATCATGTGCCTGAAAGAGAGATACACGGGTGTGAGCATGATGTAAGAATAAAATTGACAATTGATCCAGTGTCTGCGCCTGGCTGCTGCGCTCGCATCCAGTATGAGACCGATCACTTTAGATTGACAATGGCGTTTGTTATGTCCACCACTTTATACCCCCCTTTTGTTACCCTGGAGTTAAAGTATAACGTCTATCGAATGCACTGTAAAACTAAAAGTCTGAGCTGAGGCTTCCCTCTTCCGAGGATATCCTATCAGGTTCCAGGATGTCAGATTCATAGGTGTTATCTTTAGAGCAGAGGTCTTACAACGGGGAGGATTCATACCAATCAGATGAGCCGTTTTCACTTGTTGTATCCCTAGCCGTTGGTCTTTCTGAAACACTAGTATAGCTTTCAGTACCCTGAGAAGCATCTGGAGGCTTCAGGATATTATATGCATTCTCTTGATTGCTCTCATCGAAAATGCTGTTACCGTCATCGTCGGTCGAGTCATTTTCCTCGGGGTCTGATGACCTAGAGAAATGCAGACGAGGCTTTTTCCTCGCAGAGATATCCGAACAAATTGTTGATCCTTCTGAATCGTCATTATTCATGTTTCGTTTCTTCGTAGCTGATTCGTGCAGATCTAAAACCAGACGTAGGTCGATATGCATGTCTCGTGCTGTCGGCGTGGTTTCAATCTGATCAATTGGAACTAGCAAGACAAGCTCTTTTGCATAGGCCGCTGCCACCGCTGCCGCATATCCTTGCCATTCCTTGTTCTTGTGTGAGTCCGCATAGTCACAAATGCCTCGAATGACTATATATGGATAGTCATTCATGAGCCCCGCAGCTTCCATTTCTACACAGAGGACTCCTAGGTCTCGAGCCAGCCGATCTCGCAGTCTGCCATCTTTCACTACCTGATTCGCAGATGCAATCAGTCCATAGTGAATCACTGGTTCTTTATGGTGTCGTGGAAGCCGTGGTTTCAATTCGGACCGATCACAATCGATACATGTATCAAATGCTCCGTGGTCATATTCTGTCTGGAATAAGAGGTCCTCTTTGGTTGGTCGCGCAAAGTTTGCAGCTATCCGCGGCGTCCTTTTGCCTCGGATCTCAGAAATGAACTCTGGAACTCGACTATCTTCTGTGAGGTGGTGGGCTTGGAGTGTAGTAAGGGCGGTCAACAGGACCTTAGGTGGCCGATTAAGCATCCCTGTTCGCTGAAATTGATCACCGCTTAACGCTTTGCCGAGATCGTATTGGATCACGCCTCCAGATGTGTCCGCTGGCTGGCTCACCACAATATCGCCTAGTCGAATGTCTGCCTTGCTGCTTGGTATACCTCCACCGATGCCAACCATGAGACCGAACCGGATGGATTGGAAACTCGAGAGCAACTGTATCGCTACCGTTGTAGCTGATACATTGCCATATGCGCCACTTGGTAGACAGGCAATAACGATGTTATGATTCCCAATATTCCCCAGAATATACGTGTTTTGATCTGTCGGTGGGCGAGGTAGACTTGGGTGTGGTGCGTCCAACATTAGCTTCGCGGCTGCCATCTCCAGGGGTAAAGCGCATATCTATCCGACCGTGTAATCGTCATGGGATAAAGGTGCCCTGGCTGCCATAATGGAATATATGATGGTTGGCTTTTGAGACTGAGTAGGCTATCGTTAGTCCATGGGAACTGCGAGAGGAAAATGATATCGAGCCCCGATCTTAGGAATGGATGCCATGGTTGATGAGAGGAGGGGCGGGGTAGGCCGCCAGTGAGGCTGAGGCGAAGTACTCTCACGACCAATCATTCTTGTACAGTGGAGATGAAATTGTTGACAGATTGCCTGCTTAAAGGATGTTTGCTGGGTTTGCATCGAATCTTCCAGTCCGGGCATCTAGTTCTAGACTCTTGTATCCTCTATACTGATATTTTAAGCTCCTTGTATTTATTACCTGGTTAGGTACAGAACGTCTTATTTACGCGCTATCTGCGTATGGGTTAGCGTGTCATGTGATTAGGGTTTGAAAGATGATCTCTCTGTTCCCGTCATGGAAGGCGATACCGGTCGCTACTGTACAAATGAGGAAAGCGATCGCTACTGTATGAAATAGGATCCATCCTCGAACGAGGGACTGTACCATTAGGACCGGACCATGGGGATGACGACGAGAAGCCAGCGGGTGGGGCTGAACCCTCAGCTTCCAGACCCCCCAGCCCGTCGCCTATCTCCCATCCCCGAAGCCGTAAACCCCGCAATCTTACCCGAATACCCCAACGTTGAGGACCTTTTTCTCGCCGAGGATGATTCTCACGATGAGGATTACTTTCTCGTCTCAATCACCTACGACTACTCCACCATCACAGCCCGAGCTCGTTTGTTCCAAGGAATAGTGCTTGCTGGGGCCACTCCGCTCCAACTGGCCTAGAATGGCTTCTATTACCGACCTTCAGGAGTCAGCAATGTGGCATGCTGTTTTGCCTGCCAATCGACCAAGCACTTATCCACCTTCTAATGCACCCCGTTCGAGGAAGTGCAACAACTACACGAGGAAGACTGCATATGGCAGATAATTTCGTGCGATTTGAAACACCACCTCGGAACTCCCAACAAACCCCCCTCCTCAACCACCGCATTCTCCTCCCCTAAACGATCAACTCCTACCGCCGATTCCAGTACACAAACTACAGACGACTCCAGTACAAAGACTCAAACTCAATCCACGCCGATTACATCTACTACAGCGAAGGAACGGTTGAACACCAACCTGGACTGCCGTTCCAATCCGCTACCCGCCATAATAGACCCAGAGCCTCAACAACCTCCAACATCCCACTCCCCCCAGCCTCATCAAACGATACCGTCCATCACTTTCTCGCCCCAAAACCAACAAACAACGTATGCTTCCGTCCTCCAGCGACCTGTCACATCCATACCGTGACCGACTCCTCCAGTGCAAGAACCTTTTCTTCCCGCCAACCCCATACTCACAATTGAAGATCTTCATCTTCGTTTTCACAATAAACCATCACCGTTCCAGCTCGAGAATAAGACAAGCCAACGCTCAATCAAACGAACTCGGCACAAAACCGCATCTGTCACTCAATCACTGTCCAGATTCTTAGCCTCTGCTTTGCTCGCGTTCTCGCGGTTCCTAACAGAGATACAGCCAAAATCGGATACTTCGTATCCGTCTCATCCGCAATTCCACTATAGCCGCGCCATGAGGGCAGCCTAACAATGGAAACGGCAATTGGCCACGATAGGCCGTGACGAGGCTCTAAGTTCATGTCAGAAAGTGGATCAACCTATATGTACATACCCGGATATATAGTCGTCGTATACTGCATATCGCTTTGCGAGGGGTCAGTGTAAATGAATACTACTACTACTACTACTACTACTACTACTACTACTACTACTACTACTACTATACAAATGATTTTAGTTTCTGTTCCTGCTCTTTGTAACCTTCCTTAATTCCTTACAAGACCAAAGGGTACACTTTTCTCGATCTCCATTCTGCTCGCTACTGCCCATATAGGCACCTCCTTAGGTAACATTGTCTATGCCATCAATTATAATCGCCAGTGCGTTTTGTAGGGAGTACTAAGATATCCAAGGGTTGGAGCGTATAGCGAGTTGTGGAAGGTTCATACTCTTCGGGCTGGGGTATAGTATCGATGTGATATAGGCGCTGTGCCATCTTTGCACACGATCACGGACTTGAAAGACTCATATCAGTTACTTAGAGTACTAGCTTTCAATACACTCCGGTAACGAATGAAATTGCAGTTGATAATAAAAACTATAGAAAGAGAAGTATAATTGCCTACCAGTATTAGTTCTCTATAGCGCCGCCACAGCCTTCTATTAAGTGGTAAACGAGAGCCCTACAGGGGATAGGCTTAAATTTAGATTAACGTATCTCGAGTTAGGATTTAGAAACCAAATTGAAAGAGTGTGGTATTAAAACTGATTTCGAATATCGCTGTAGTATTATAGTATATTTATGAAACCTAGCTAAGAGACAAAAAGTAGTATACTGATATAGGCTCTTCTCTATTGACTGTATCTTATATAAACTAAATTACTATCGCTTCTTCGCGAGTGTTTTCTCCGCGTCGATTTACCTAATAGGCGATATCGCGTACGAACTACTAGGCAGTACCTACTTTTACACTATATTAGACGAAGAAGTCCGGGTCTTGGTCCTTATAAATCTATATAAGATCGAGGTAGTTCTCGAGGGTTATATCGTGTGCTTTATTGATATTCTCCTTAAAACTCTCGTTACTTACCTATGACTGCTACTATTCGGCATATTCCCGTACGGCTATATTAAGTAGCCCGTGAACAATTATTGGTTCAGCATATACAGACTTAGCACACAAAGTTTCGTTATTAATAAGAGAAGGCATCGGCTATTAGGATAATCCAGTAGGGAGGAAATTGTTGATATTAATCGGAGGATATATTGAGCCGATCGTAGAATTATCCGAGGTTTTCTTCTTCTTTTCAAGTCGCTAATTCTCCTCGGCATAAAGCTGCTCGCGAACGCTGTTGGGGATATCATTATGGGTCTCGAGGTATCCCCCTTGCTCCATATATTTAATAAGGGCCTTTATATGGTGTATTTTCAGTCTGTAGTGTTTTTTTCCTTCCGGATCTTACCAGCAGTATTACCCTTCATGGCGACATAGGGGTCCGGGACATCGCATAACACGATACACATCCCGCCATACAGGATATTAGCCAGATGATTGCTCGGCGTCAATCCGAGCGTCTCGGTCCGCTAGCCTCCTCTTAGTAGTCGATGACTTTCCTCGTTTATCGCTACCGGAGGAAAGTGCCCCACTATCCTCAATATAGTTAATGGATATCTACCAAGAAGGGCGGTCCATACCATATAACGGGGAAGGGGAAAGTTTGAACAATATTTGTTTTCTTTCTTATTGCATAGTATAAATGCACTTTGGATTTGATATTTCAATTGATTGCATTGTAGCATGGGCTTGGGCTTACAGCTGATAGTTAGAATGTTAGAATGGGACCGCTAGTTTAGCGTGAAGGAAAATATATTAATCCGTGTTAATCCGCGTTTCGACCATCTATCTAGTCTCTCTTTACACTAGGATGTCTTTATAGCTTATAATAGACGTTTATAAAGACCCTGTGATCATTATTTACAGTATTATCTTTACTACTAAATCCTATCTTCTTCTGTACTAGGGTATTATAACCCCTAAAAGAATCCCGACATTCGCTGATGTCTGACATTCGCCGAGCTCTCGGAATTCGGATTAATACATGTTCCTCTGGGCCAAGAGGCGCTAAAAATTAGCGGTCCCATTCTAACATTCGACCAGCTGTCGGTCGGCATGGGGCTTGTTTTTCTACAGAAATCATTGTGCGGCTTAATAATTATAGGGCCGACCAGGAAGCCGATCATAGAAGTACCATGTGGCTGAAAAAGGTCGAAGGCTGTGCTTTTTACAGTGGCGATACCATAGTAAATGGTCCGTGTATTTGAAAATGGAGTGCTAAGAGTGACCTTGCCTAATTAGGTTAGACCACTGGGCCAACAGCATCTTACGCTTTATATACGCGTCCTAGAAGAATAAAGATCACCAAGTCCTGCCCCATAATTGCACTCCTCATGTTAGCCTTAGGGCTTTTGCTTCGCTGCATTTCCTTTCATGCCAAACCCGAAGGTGACTTAGAATATACCGAAAAGCAAGGCCCCCAGGCTTGTCGCGAGCCCATCTTTCCCCACGACAGAGGGGTCAACATGAACTGGATTTATCTTACCTTGGTGTCATTGTTGCATCAAGTCTACTCATCGAAATGCAAGCCCAAGGTTTGAGTGGATCGATGATAAAAAACAACGTCAGATCTAGTCGATTTAATTGAATCCTGAAAGGATCACGACTGGTGAACTCTTCCCTTTACATCTCAGGGAATATTCAAAATGAGTCAAAAAGATGCCCTCTTATCTACTGCACACCCTAAAATTCCCAACGTTTCTTGGCCTTGGCCGCCAGAAAGTCCACGGCCAAAGATGCATCCAATAATAGTGCGATTTGTGTTTATGATTCTTTCGCCCGCAGATCAGATTTGCTTCGCACTGACCTGTAAATTTACGCTCGGCTTTTACCTGCAGTCTCTGCATTTAATGGGAAAGATTATACCTATACCCCAGCGGACCTACTTGGGCGTTAAAATGTTCTCAAGGACCAGAATCGATCTGCTTCGTCAACTTCAAAACGCCCGTTGGAAATTTTGCGCTCAATGTTGCTATCTTCATCCACGTTCGATATGGCATCTAGAACGTTTTTGGACACTGAGTCATAAGGCATGCTCTTTTGGCTGTCACAGACTTAGTATTCGGAAGTGCTATTTACCGTACGCCCATGAGGTTGATATATGTTCTTGTCTCCAAATCAACCTACACCACAAGTTACATCTATTCTCTCTATGCCATGATCGAAAAAAGCAGCCCCTCGATTGCAAAGGAAGTGTTAAACACCTACCGAATCGTGGCTGTAAGTGCATGGAGATCTCACATGCATGTACCTTCAACAGGCATCCTGCTGCAAAAGTTCGAATCAAGGTTACATTATCAATCGGGTGCCACAATCAGAGCTTACTTGTGCGTACTCGTTTTCTATTTGATTTCACAAAGTCGGATCCTTCGCAGTTGAAACAATTTTGGGACACGCGGGGTGGTATATGCCTGCGTGAGAACACTGGAATGTGGGTTCGACGGTTTTTCCGTGAAGGCGGGAACTACTTCGGCAAGAACGTAAGTTGGAAGCCCTGTAAATGGTATAGCTGGAGTGTGAATGATCAAGGACCACTGGAAATAACCTTGAATCGCAATCTGGGGAAGCGGGAATGGCCGAGTGAGAGCTGGACTCGCAACTGTCACTACGTTACTCTTTGATGCTACATCTTGCTCTCAATACGCGGTACCTAGTTACTACAAAACAAACAGAAATTGATCTATCTCGGAATGGAATGACCTTCTAGGTGTCTATCATATCTATATATAGGTATGTAGTATACATTTGAGCTCATCTTAGCTTCACCCGAAGGTTACTAGTCACTGACCCTGCGGAGAAGGGTGAGCTCGTCGTCAGTGCTATCTAACTATATAATAAGGATAAGGTAAGGATAGACATGTATCTCAGAAACCCCCCAACTCAGCATATCTGCCAACTACTCGTTGGCTGGCTGTAACTCCCGAAGCTCGATGGCATTGCCCCCATCCCCTATCCTCCCCATCCTCCCCGTCCTCCTCCCCATCCTCCTCCCCATCCTCCTCCCCATCTCCCTCCCTATCCTCCTCCCCATCTCCCTCCCTATCCTCCTCCCCATCCCAATCCCCCCCAGTTCTCCCCCCAGTCTCCCCCCCATCCTCCACCACCACCTCCCCCCTCCCCCTCCACCACTTCCATGCCCGCCACCCCATATCTACCGCAGAAAGGAAGCTGATCAAAGTACCGAAAACAACAGAGAAGAGGCTTAGGCCATCAGGGATGGCCATTTTCGAAGAAAGAAAAAAGAATTGTATTGTTTGTTCAAAGAGAAGAAAAGAGAAGAAAAAGAGAAGAAAGAGGGAAATACCAGTAAGGACATGATTAGAATAGTTGCTCGGGAGATAGTTTTCAACCCAAGTTTATAAGGAAAGAGCATATCCCACTCACTGGCTTGGTACTTACTCGAAAGTGGCAACCGCGGCAGACCTCGTAGACGCATAATCAGGAATCTCAACCCTAACCCTGACCTCTCCCACTTCACCTTGAAACAAGAACCCAATATCCCTCGTTGAATCAACCAGCTCCACCTCCCTCCGCACAAACCGGCTCTTATCAAGACCATTGTCCGTCTTCTCAAGCTCAGAGCCAATATCAGGCCGAAGCTCATCCTCACTATCCTCATTCCATTCAACGACGGCCTCATCGCCAACTTGTTTCTCTACAGGATCCCACTCGTCCGTCTCCCAGACCAGCCGAAACCCAAACGCCGGTAGCCCGAAGAGCCGCGACACAAGCGCCTTGACCTGGTACGTATCAAACGAGCCAGGAATCTCCTTGACTTGACTCTTGGATTCGTCGTTTCCAGTTGGCAGACGGAACGCCATCTTGACTAGTCGCGCGGCCACAGACCGCGGATGGATGACTCTCGCGCCTGAAGAATCCGACAAAACCGCTCTTGTGATAGTCGGCTCGACGTATAGCTCGCACAGCTCACTGTACCGTGGGTGTGTAGCGAGAATGGCGGGTTCTTCTTCCTCGGTCGTGGCGGAGAGTTCTTTGCCGATGAGGGATAGGTAGTACATCTCTGCATTGGAGCGGTCTTGGGGAGAGATGGTGCTGTAGTTCAGGGTGGTGAGGGAGGGTGGGAACCGAGATAGGGTTAGCATAAAAGCTTCGTCGACGGTCATTGGTTTGGAGGCTTCTGTGACAGATGGTGGGAGGGGTGGTTGGTGGAAGAGGGGATTGGCAGTGATTCGGAGGGTGGTTAGACCTGGGAAGACAGTAGGGAGTTTGTTGAGGACGGTCCAAGAGGTGATGTTATTGCGGGATAGATCGAGAGAGCGGAGAGTCGGCGGGAATTGGAAGTCTAGGGTTGTATCTGTGGTGTTTTGGTTGACGGTGCTGATACCGTTTCCACGGAGGGAGAGGTGCTCCAATTTTGGAAGTGCAGCGAGATGTCGAAGAGCTGATATTGAGGTGATCTCATTGTGCTCGAGGGTTAATGTTGTGATAGTGCTAGGGAGTGGACACGTTATCTCAGAGAGCTGGTTCGCAGATGCCGTGAGAGACGTCAAGCCAGGGAATCGATATGCAATGGCAGTAATCTATGTCCGTAGTCAGCTTTACTCAATAGTATCTGTGGTGGACAGGGCACATACTTCATCCCAGCTAAGCAGGGTTTGTTCTAGATGTAGCTCAGTAATCCCCTTGAAGGTCAGGTCTTCCTCCAACGCTTGAAATCGGTTTCCGCTATTCTCCAATCAGATCTACTATTGAAAAGTTGGCCAGATTTGAGACTTACTTCAACCGCAGCCGTTTCAGGTGCTTAAGCTGATCGCAGATATCCCAAACATCGCGCCACCGACTCAATAAGCTTCGACTGAGATCAAGTTCGGTGATCCTAGGACAGATTTCTCCAATCTTTTGTGCTGCCTCAATATGTGAGACTTGGGCTTGATTGTAGGATGCAAGGACTCCAACAACCCGTAGGCCATCAAGCAAGACAATACGCAACTCTTGGAGCTCAGCGAGCTGTTTCCGAATTTTGTCGAAGCCAACTTCTTCAACAACCTTGCCGCTAATCTCAATTGCCTTGCCTTGAATTGCTGCTCCACTATCCAAGGCATTGTGGGAAAGGCCATGCTCGGGCTCCGAAGCATACTTCTCTCGTAGCGCTTCTAGAAAGCTCAGAGGCTGGTCTGAAGGCCTGGAGGGGCGAACAAAAGACCCCGCCGTGGGATGTTTACTTTTGCCTGGAGTCACGTTAGCAATAATCTAATACAAAAGTGAGGTATTCGTACATGAGAAGTACCTGACGCCTTTATGCTCTCCTGAATGCTTGCCTCGACTTGCGTCGTCCCATTCAACACCTAACCAGTCGCCGGTGGTCCCTTGAACAGTACCCACATAGCGAATAGTACTTAAGTGACCATCAAATGAACGACGTTGACCTACAAGTGAGACAGTCATAGCTCAGGGCAGACCTAACAGTTCATTTGTTCATGTTCTGGTGAGCGCTACTTCGTACTGTGATCCATGCCCAAACAGCCAGCTTATATAATCAACAGCATTTCACATGGCCAGACCAGGCTCAACTTGGATTAATAGCTGAGATTAGGCGCATTTCATGTAATACTACATAATACACTGCATATATAGTAGGTCAAGCCTAGATACAGCTAGCAAAACCTTTTCGTAAGTTTTTTAACAAGAAAAAGCCGATAAAGAGACATATTGTAGCATGTAGAAGAAGGCGGTGTCTCTATCAAGAAGGCGGTATATAAAAATAATTTCCGGTAGAAAGGTGGGTCGCTGTAGTTACCGCCCGCGCAAAACACCTAGAGATAGTGAGCTTCACCCACTTTCTTTTCTGCAACCTACCGCATCAAGATGGATTACCAGGTACGTACACGCTGACTTAGCCCGCGCGGCTTCATCTCCCTCATCAAGAAGGAGGCCTCGCTGACATATCCCGCAGAACAGGGCTGGTTCCAAGTTCGGCGGCGGCGGCGTCGCCTCCCAATCTGCCACCAACGCCGACCGACGTGAGCGACTTCGCAGAATCGCCATGGAAACTATGGATATCGAGAAAGATCCCTACATCTTCAAGAACAACGTGGGCACCTTCGAATGCCGTCTCTGCCTGACAGTCCACCAGAACGACGGCTCCTACCTCGCCCACACCCAGGGCCGCAAGCATCAAACAAACCTCGAACGACGCGCCGCGCGTGAGGACCGGGAAGGCAAGAAGGATCAATCCACCTTGCCTGGTGTCGCCGGTGTCCAGGTCAAGAAGCAGCTGATCAAGATCGGCCGACCTGGTTACAAGATCACCAAGATCCGCGACCCATTGACTCGCCAGAACGGAATGTTGTTCCAGCTGCAGTTCCAAGAGATCACTCCGGGCGTCAAACCCCGTGTGCGCTTCATGTCGGCCTTTGAGCAGCAGGTCGAAACTCCCGACAAGAACTACCAGTACCTGGTGGTTGCCGCCGAACCCTACCAGAACAGTGCGTTCAAGATCCAGGCGAAGGAGATCGATCGCCGCGACGAGAACTACTGGACTTGGTTCGACGAGGACAGCAAGGAGTTCTGGATCCAGATCCTGTTCAAGACTGAGCGTGAGGAGATCTTCAGCGGTGTTCCTGGTCTCGCGCCCTCCCAGACCTGAAATTGTTTTTTCGATATCCTCTTTGCGCGTTTTTATCTTTATCTTTATCTTTAACCATGCGCGTCAATCAATCAATCAATCGATAAAAGTTCAATTAATCTGTTGCAGTCTAACTAGTTGCGTATGACTATGTAGGCGCTTCTCTAACCGAAGCAAGAATTCGAAACCAAACACCGAGCCAGGATCTCCCTCAAAGAGTATATAGATGCCGATTTGTAAAATAATGTGGAATCAGCCCTTTCCTATAGCGCATAGAACCTATACAGCCCCATGCTGTAGTGGGGGATTCTAGTACAGGATGACTAAGCGGCCATGTGAATGACTCCTAGCAACGCAGACAGCTTCAACCACCTTCTCTTCTTAGTAGTCACCCCATGGTGTTCTCCTCTCTAACACCCTAATACCCCCAGTGACGACTCTGCTCTCACACCTGTTTTGCAGGCAGGACTGTCGGTGCCCCTGCTGTCCCGTTGCAGTGTCCCCTCTTCTCGCTTTTTCTTTACTCTCTCCTGCCCCGGTCATGGCTGGTAGTGATGTTGTCTTAGCCCGTTGATTGGCCTATTCGTCGACTCTTGCTGAGTTTCTCGTTTCACAGCTTTATCTATCGTCACTGGCTGGTACCAATCGTCTTCCACGCCTAATTCTATAGCCGCGAGGCCTATTGGTTCGTTCTCGTCGTCCTCCGATATATCGTGGGCATTGTATAAGGATATGCTTCGGTGTTTGTGAACCCTCATCACAGCCGCACCGGTCTGTCTCTACTGCCTTGATGTTGAATAAGAAGTGCCGAAGCCCGATTCTCATTGTACGCATTTGGATTAGAATTGTTATTCTTAACCATGCGCGTGTTGGCCTTCCAGCTTGGAGTTATGGCACCAATCAATGAAACCATCAAATTATGAAATATCCTATGATGGACATAGTCCCCTCCTAATTTCTGTTTTGACATTCGCCTAACATACTTGATGTGGTCTTTTTTGTCTCTTTAGATATCCATACCTGCTGCTGGAGTTCGATCCCTCCATTCTCTACCACCTCCATGCCCTCCACCCCATATCTAATGCCGAAACAGTCCCTATCACCGTACCAAAAGAGGCAAGACCATCAGGGATGGCCATGATGTGAAAAAAAGAAAGATTTGTGGTTGATGTTTATTCAACGTGAAGAAAAGAGAAAATCTTTATGGTAAATTCGATGTTGACGATAGTCCTCCTACCTCGCCCACACGCCTTCACGGTCCTCGTGCCCGGCGCGTCGCTCCAGATTGGTCTGGTGTTTTCGACCCTGGGTGTCCAGGTCAAAAACCAGCTCATCAAGATCGGCCGACTCGCGACGAATTAGCCCGTGGAGGTGTTGACGGAAGAGTTCAAGCTAGCTTAGATGAATGGTAAAGCTTCGTCCTTTTACGGCTGTTGCGCGTAATGCCAGTTCGTTCAGCATGGTAATAAGCCCATTTGCTTTGAAAACGTGTCCAATGCATGCAGAGCGATGATGATGCTAATTGTAATGGTGTATGTGAGAGGAAGAGAAGAGAGGAAGAGGGAAGGGCCAATAAATAGTCTGCGTAGTTTCCATGATTGGAGTAGTTGCTCAGGGGGATGGTCAAGACATCTGAAGAGACATCTGAAGAGACATCTGAAGGGGCATCTAAAGAGATCGGGACTAGGAGGTTTGTATCTACTTCACATATGTATATACTATCTATCCTTACCTTATCCTTATTATATAGTTAGATAGCACTGACGATGAGCTCACCCATCTTCGCAGGGTCAGTGACTAGCCATTGTCAAGTAAAGCTAAGATGAGCTTAAATGTATACTACATACTTATCTTTAGTCCAAACATTATACAGCTACTATCCTTTAAGCTTAGTTATAAGTGAAGCAAAGCAGAAAACGCAGTACTACTTGTCCCGTTTCCATGATAGAGGACTAAAAGTCGGATCAACACCTACCAAATCGTGGCTGTAGGTATGCCATCCACGGCCCGACTAGCTCGGGGGATCTAGCCTTAAGACATGTAGCTTAATTGAATAGATGCTTGATGTTTGCTAGTTTACAGAAGTGGTCAGCTATATAAAGCAGGCCGTCGTCTATGATCTGGCTCGTCACAGCTATATCTAGAACGATTGATGGATGTGGGTAGATATGATCGACCCCCGGTTCGCCGACTCGCAGGCTTCTGGAACAGCAGTCATAGCATTGGGAAACCAAGTCATTTTATACGGCTGAGATACTAACATCCAATGTAGTCTTCTCTGTTTTAGAGACTCAAAACGCATTCGACTGTGAACCTACCGAGTATATGAAAAAATAGTGCATTGCAAGAAGGGCAGACATAGTCAGAAAAGACAAGTGCATTTTATCTTTAGGGTAATATCCTGACTATCCTAAATCAGCTGGGTCTGTCCGAAGATGTGACAAGTAGTGTCGTCTTGAAAGGGATGCAAGGCGTTAGATACATATGTATCAACAAGTGAAACCGAAGATGGGTCATAATTCGGGAAAACAACATCGCGCTGATATGCTCAATGAGAATGAGTAACGAGGTGAAAACAAAGCCGAGTTTTTTTCTGACCGACAAAAAAGTACCATTGAGAAACAAAGGATGCAGGCCCTGCATGCTTCCCTTGTCCCCGGGAATTGGTTCGATCAGTCTCGGAACACAACAAAAAACAAATCTAAGTGGTTTCGAAGGCATTGAATGCCTTATAGGTGTAGCCGATGAATGGCAAACTCATCTCGGCTTCCTGTGAGTCCGGCATGGCACGGGCCTGGGCGCGGTGGATCGCGCTAGTATCCTCCTGGGGAATCTCATCGATCGGGAAGTATGACACATCAATGTTCGAGCTGAGACGTGGCTCGAAGGGAGCACGGATGCTGCGCAGTTGATCCCAAACAACACCCCTGAAGAAGGGGTGGCTTTTGATCTGTGTCGCGCCTCCGTGCTGACCACCTTCGCTGCCAATACGGTGATCCGGGTCACACAAGAAACTAGACAATTCAGTTAGCGGATGATCCTGTTGAATTTGGATGCATAGATAAGAGCTCACCTTCGGATCAGCGCCTCGGAGTCACGACCAAGAACCAGTTCATCGGGGAAGTACAAGCACTCTCTCCAGTTCACGATTTTCCGGTAAGTGTCATTTGTGTCTTCGGCACAGAAGGGAGGCCAGCCCACGAGACATTCAAACATGATGGCACCAACAGACCACCAATCGCAGAGATAAGTGTAGCCTTGACCGTTGAAAATCTCAGGAGCAATATAATCAGGAGTTCCGACAGTCGAATAGGCCATGGCACGACGTGACTTTCGCCAGGTGTTGATCTGACCACGGTTAGACACTGTCAGATTGATGGCATCATTGAAGTATCCAGAGTTGCGGTTCCGATCCTTGGAGGTAGAGTTCTTGAGGAGGTTTTGGTAGTAAGCGTTGTCATGAGTCTTCTTGCCTCCGGTTGACAGACCGAAGTCGGTAAGCTTGACGTGTCCACCGCGATCAAGCAAGATGTTGTCAGGTTTGATATCACTGCCAAAAAACATTCATTAGTATGGATTGTCTTGTATGTTGGCGTGTGCACTTGATTCTTCATTGGGGAGAAAAATGCACATTGCCAACGTCCAACTCGCGACCAAAAGGCACTTACCGATGGAGGAAACCAAGCTTGTGTACGGCTTCAATCGCCATCACGACCTCGGCCATGTAGAACCGTGTAATGTCCTCAGAGAAGATCTCGTACTTGATCAACATGGTCATCAAATCACCACCAGGCAAAAACTCCATCAGTAGGTAAAGGTACGCAGCATCCTGGAACGACGCGTGAAGCTTCACAAGCCAGGGGTTGTCCTTTGAATCAGCCAGAATATCACGCTCGGCACGGACGTGGGCTAATTGATCCTTCTTGAACATTTCGGTCTTGATCAACGACTTGAGGGCGTAAATCTTGCCATCAGTCTTGCGCTGCACGAGCTTGACCTCACCGAAAGCACCCTTTCCGATAATCTTGATGGTCTGGAAGTTTGCCGGTGTCTCCTTTGTGCGCAGGAACCGAAGGAAATCGGACTCTCGCTTGGAAATCACGTCGGCATCCTGTCGCTTCTTTTCGATGGGGATATTGGGGTCACGGAGGGTTTTATCGAGTTCCGCCGATCTATAGGGGCGAAAATCATAGATATAAGTCACAACTCGGGAGCAATATTTCAAGGATTCCATTAGGGACATAGATACTTACCGCATGTTACGGTCACGGGCCCGTTCAATATTCTCGTGGAAAAACACAGTCACCAACTCCTTTGCTGCCTTGCCTCGCTTGTGGGCGTTCTCGGAGTACCGATCGGGGAAGCGCTGCAACTCTTCGCTCTCGGGGGGTGGGCGAGGGCTGCGAGGCACGGGGGGGATCAGGTGTGATGCTTGGGCCTGTGTTTGAGCCGGGGAGCCACCAGCGGTGCGGGGCCGCTGGGCTGGGGAACCAGCCCGATTATTGAAAAACCCTGCACGGTTTGAGTTAAGATCCTGATTAGAGAATTGCTGGATCAGACCGTTGGTGCCGTCAGGGTAGCCCGGGCGTGCTTGGTAGGCGGGCTGGGGAGATTGCAACGCTTGCTGTTGCGCGTACTGCTGTTGCTGCTGCTGTTGCTGTTGCTGGACATACTGCGGCTGTACCTGTTGGGGTGGGTAATTGTTGGGCAGGAAATAACCCGGGGCGTAAGCGGGATTGGAGGGGTCGACGTATTCCTGGGCCCCCTGAGTCTGATAGATGGGCTGGGGGAAGGCGGAGGGGGTAGTGGGATAGGCGCGGTTGTTGGCATTGTAGTTACGGTCATAGCCGTAATTCATATTGTTGCGGTTGTTATTGTTGGGATCCATCTTGACTCGAACTCCCAAGGGACTTTTCAAGGGTGATGGGGGAGAAGAAAGTTGAGAGGAAGGGAGTTGAGGACGAGGGCGGGGAGTTTAAAGAAGCGGTGGCTCAGGTGCTCAGGAGGCAATCTAGCCCCAGCGTGACTGGTTGACTTGTTGTTTACATGTTACATGTTTACACCACACGATTACCTGAAACAGCTGTGTTCGAAATGTCTTTGATACTTTTCTTTTCATCTAATGATTTACCAGAAGCAGGCGAAATAGTCTGAGGGAGGGAATTACCAGTGTGCCAATAGGCTGATATCGATGTTTTGAAAGAGGACGACTTGTTTTACATGCATACTTTGCACGTAGCACCTATGTTGTAGTAGACCACAGCTCTCCGGGATAAGCCCTGGAATATCCCGAGGTCACTGGCATCCAGGGCGTTGTGTATATTGTACAGCTTTTTTTGCAACTTTTTGGTTTTCTCTTTCCAATTTGGGAACTCAGCTCTTGCCGCTTTTAGAGGAGCCTGGATGTATTACATAAGTGCAACACGTGATCTCGGCCTAAGATAACTTCTGCCCCGCATACGAACCAAACCTCCGAAAGAAACGGAACCTGACCATTCCTTTCACTGCACAACGAGAACTTACCTATTAAGTACGGGAAATAGAACTACGGAAAAGAATGTCTTCTATTATTTCAACAAAGCATATAGCTGACAGAACCTATATCTCAAGGACACCACCAAATAGGACGTCCTTCTACCGTGCTATATATTAAACCCATTCGGTAGTGTCCTTGAGATTCTATGCTTCGTTGACTTTATAGAAGATGCCTGCAAGCGTACTTCATAGGTAAGCTCTCGTTGTGGGGCCAAGGGGATGGTCAGGATCTGTTTCTGGTGAGGCTCGCAGTCCCAGATGACCAGCCAAGTATATCCCCCATCTCGGGATCTTGGCTACGTAGGCCGTTATAGGCTCAGGGATCATCAGGAATCATGCGCGTAGTCGATCCCCGTATGATATCTCTGGACGGTTCGGCCGGTGTCCACGTCCATCAGTTGTTATGGACATAGCGTGGTCATTTCATCTCGATATCACGTGAAGTTTTGTTTTACATCCCAGGAGGTAAAGGAAACTAACTACAGAAAAGCAAAATTCCGAGTGACAGACATTAATCGGTCAATATGTACACAAGACAGATGGAATCATATCATTATAATACCACATGTTCGGGGCGGAAGAAAAGGCCAAAACGCCGTAGTGGTTTGCGCGCTCACTGCCCAGTCCCCTAAACCCCCAATAGAAACAAAAAGAAAGAAATGGTGAACAGGCAGAGAATTGAGATCGTATCATCGGAACAGAAGAAAAACATAACGCCTGACCATGATGCTTTTGTTTTGTCGACCGCAAAAGAACAAGATGAAAACCCCGTGAGGACGCAGGATCGAGAGGATGGTGTAATGGCCTTTGGTTAGGAACTCATTATGCAAGGAGTAATGAAAGAGTATGAGGGGCAATGGAGACGCTCGAAAGCGGTGTTAGTCACAATAGAGTGGATTACCCGCGAGCAACCCACCATGAACGGA